ATTTATGTCTTCTTTAATTTCTTTCAAAGATGTTTTTTAGTTTTCAGATCTTAAGTTGTTCATTTAAAAAAACTTATTCCTGAAGAATAAGTTGTGAAAACTTTCTCTCAGTTGTGCGTTTTTGTATTTGGGAATATCTTTACTTCATTTTTGAAAGATAGTTTTGCTAGAACTAAGATTCTTGGTTGACATCTTTTTTCTTTCAGCATTTTGAATATGTTACCCACTGGCTTCTGGCCTCCATTGTTTCTGATGAGAAGTCAAGGGTAAACCTTATCAGGCTTCCCTTGTATGTCACAAGTCATATTTTCTCTGCTGCTTTCAAAACTTTACCTTTGTCTTTGGGTCTCAGCAGTTTTACTATAATGTATCTGTGTGTGGAACTCTTTCTGAGCTGTGTACATTAGTGTTTTTCTTCTTCAACTTCTAACAAATGCAGTTATTCCCCGTGGGGACAGCTTCAGAGCTCCATTCTTATGGCCTACCTGTCCGCCTGGACAAAATCTCTGAGCCCTTGCTCCAGAGCCAGTAGTAGGAAAAGTGGCCCTCAGAATTGGATTCTGGGTGAGGATGGTAGCCTCTGCCTTTTCGGCTTGACTCTCCTGGGATGGAACATCTTACCTTACAAACAATCTGGGACAAGCACAACCAGGGCCCCAGTATTCTCAGCCTGTGGAATCTGGGCTTGAGCTGCCACTATATGAGTAGGAGCCAAGTAGAGGATGGGATTCCCCAATTTCTTGGCTGTACTCACCAGGAATAAAGCCTCTACAACTCGGAGCTCAGGGGATAGTGGCGGTGGGGGGGGGGGGGGGGGGGGGGGGGGGGGGGGGGGGGGGGGGGGGGGGCACTAAACCTTAAAATGTCCTCAGTATCCTTCCTTCTTCAGATTACAGGTAAAGAAAAAACAACCATAGGTGGGGAGGCCTCAGTGGAGAGCTCTGTGGTCACTAGAGGCTGAACCAAAGCAAAAGTTTGAGTGGGGTGGTAAGGATGGGAGTGGAGGCACCTGAAGGAAAGAGAAGGGGACTCAGAGACCCGGCTCTCCCCCGTGCAGCCTGGCATCGGATCCACCACACATCTCCTAGGCTCCACTCTGGGAACAGAAGTGAGTGAGATGGGGTCTGTATCAGCCCTCCAGCACTGAGGGGAAGCTATGGAAGGTGCCACTGTGAACCTGACCTCCAGTCCTACAAATACACAGCAAAAGCCGCCAGCCTCAGGCTATCTGTGGCCATCGCTAGGGCATGTGAGTCAACCTGGCCCTTCCCAAGAGCCTCCAATCTCTCTCCACCATCTCTACTCCAAATGCGTGCTTTTCTTGCTCTTCTTTTGGGCTCCAGAGACATACTTAAAACCAGACCAAAGTTTCAGATAACAAGGCAGCCCTGCATTAGCCCGGAATATGAAGTGAATTTAGCTTGCTGCCAGGACGAAATTATAGTCCACTCAGAGGCATGTGCAGCTCCTGTGACCCACCCTGCCAGAGCCTTGTTTTTGTCAATACACCACCCTACCTCTTGGACTCTGTGTGAGCGTTCTGTTGTACACCAGGAGGGATGGACAAAGTTTGTTTATCCAGAAACTTGGCAGGAGATGTGGGTGAAGAAGCCTCCGGACAAAAGCACATTCTGAGATCCTGGTGGCCATTGTCAGAGGAGCACAGCTGAGAGGCAACGCACAAACTGTTTGGGGTGAGGCAGCTGATAAACAAACAGGAAGCAATTTCAGATCAGAGCTAGGGGAAGCCCCTGAGTCTCTTTTATTTGTTTTCTGTGCAAGATCTTTCTGAAAATCTCGCTGGTGTTGGCTGGAGGTGTAGATCCCATACCTTGTCCCCTCTGGAATGTGACAGAGAGCTAGAGTGTGAACTTGGTTAATAATATTCAGGCTGTCCTGACAGCCAAGCTGCTAGTCTCTACACTCACCAGCAGCATTTCCTGGTAGCTTCTAGGCCTGACAGAAAGAAAACTGCATAAGCCTGCCTACTGCTCAAAGTTTTCACCTTTGCCAGAGGCCACCCAGGCCTCAGAGGAGGCACATCCTGTGGTATGTAGTCCCATGTAGTAGCAACCAGATATCAACCTTAGTCTATTTCATAGTCCCTCCTCTGCTACTCCCAATGCCTCCCATAAGCGCCCTATTAGCAGAGGATGAGGCCCTCATGTTCCTACCTCATACTTTTGGGTTATGGGTGGAGAATCAGTGTGTCCTCCTCTGTCTGTGCCCTGACCCCAGGTCCCAGGAAAGATGGCATGAGTCTAGTGCCCCTAGAGGCCCAGGCCCTTTGCTGGAGGCTGTATCATGCTCAAGGGCAAAGCCACCAGCAGCTCCACCCACGGATTCCTAGAGGATGCAGCCAACTTCAGGAGAGGACAGAAGCCTGGATGATGGAGCAGCATGCCTGCCTCAGGCCACTGGCAGCCTGCCACAGAAAGCTGGTCCTTACCAAAAAAAGGTTCTCACAGGGCCTCTGGAGCATGGGGCCTAGGAGAAGTGGTACCCAGCTCAGAAGTGACTGCCTAGTTTTCCCAACTTGTAAACTACTTGTAATTTTGTGAGGAACTGCCATACTGTTTTTCATAGTGGCTACACCTTTTTACACTCCTACCAACAGTGCACAAGAATTCCAATTTCTCCATATAACAGCCATCCTAATGGGTGTGAGGTGATACCTCACTGTGGTGTTGATTACATTTCCTTACTGATTAGTAATGTCGAGCAGATTTTCACATGCTTGTATCTCCTCTCGTAGTTAAGGAAACTGAGGCTTTGAAAAGTGATGTAACTGCTGAAGTCAGCCAAGTGGCTAGGGGTGGGGTCAGAACTGGCCCTCAAGTCCGACTCCAGAACTTCTTCTTGTGTCACCATCTCTCTGTGGAGAACCACCTCCCCCTACTCACCTACTCAGAGGTGCTTCTCCTCTCCTTCCTCCCAAACACCAGTATCCATTTGTCTTTTATTTTACTCTTCCACCAAAAAAGAAGCAAGGAAGGGAAAGCTTGCTGAGAAAAGCAAACCCTTTTCCTGCATGTGAGTGTGTGATGATGTGCATCCCCAGAGGTGCCCACAGGATCCTTTAGTAGGGCACAACAGGAGGAGCTATGGCCTTGAAGGTGAGCAGCTACCCACCCTTCACACCATGAGGTCAATGACACCAGCGAGGAAGAGAAAAGAGTTCAGACCAGCTTTTATGGGGGCTGCAGCTAGTGGAGCCAGCTTTAGCTCAAGTTACAGGAATTGAGGTGGAGTGAGCTGATCCCCAGTCTTAGATACCCCAGGACCAGGCTGTGGGAAGGGGGTGGGCACTAGGAGCCCCTGCTAGGGGATCAATGCCAGAGAAGCACAGTCACTTCAGGGTCCAAGGTAGGCCTGGTGGCAATGCTGGGGGATCCAGAGGTGGGTCACAGGCTGAGCCCACTTTCCACAGGTCCTATAGATCCTGTAGGCACCACCCCTGGCTGGCCACCAGTCTCTTGCCAAGGAAACTCCCACAGATTCCTCACTGGTCTTCTTGCTTTTCATAGCAGCTAGAGTAAGCTTCTGCTGAAAACCCAAATCTGGCCATGTTACCCCTTGCTTAGAACCCCTATTATTTCCTCACTGCTCTCAGAATAAAGTCAATTAGTCAACATTTTTACAGTGACCACTGTGAAATGATCTCTGTAGGCATATCTAGCCTCACCTGTCATCCCCTGAACACCAGCTGCCTGGATCTATGGGAATTCCTTCCACAGAATCTGCCATGTTCTTTGCTTGGGCAAGTTCTACTCATATTTCCAGACTCAGCTCTAATTTTATCACTTTTTCTTGGAGTCTTCCCTCACCCTGTTATCTGCACAGAGACAGTAATATACTGCTCCAGGTCACACAGCAGGTCAGCCAAACTTGAATTCAGGCTCCAGAATCCTATTACTAACCAGAGTTAATGTTAGCCCTCTCTGTAACCTGGCCAGTGTGCCCCAGGGGCATGTGAGATTTGAAAGCAGCCCCTACACCCCAACTGTCTTTAGCCCAGTGCCCAGCATAAGGCCAGACATAGTGTCTGATGATTGCTACATTGTTCTGAGACAAGAGGATTAAGGACTAAGAGGGGCCACACTGGGGTTTTTCTTGGGAGGAACACAGAGCAGGGGCAGGGCCAGAAGCTGGGAAATCCTAACTGTCTGATCAACAGCAGGAAACTGGTCTGGGTATGCCCCCCTCAGAAGGACGCGGCATCTTGTGGCCCATAGCACATGTGAAGCAAGAAGTGTAAGGGACAAAGTATGTGTGTAGCCTGACTCCTGAAACAGAAAACTTGCCACCAAACCACTTAGGATCCTAAGGTGCTAATGGCATAAACTGGAACCCCTGCGGGCCCCTGCATCCTATGCTCAGAAGAGTCTCTGTGAGTCAGTCTCTTTATGAGTACGTTGGGGCCAGAGTTATGGCTCCTATGGCCCCTGCAGCCAGTCAGCATCAGAAGGTCCTCTGCTCCTTTTCAGAGAAATTGGAGCCTCACGATAGGACCCCAAGCTTCACCAAAATGTGTATGGCAGAACAGTAGACCCTTTGATTCTTCCAGACCTCTGTGGCCAGGAAACAGGTCAAACCTGCCCACAGCCTGCCCTGCAACAAGGCTCTTCTCTGTGTATGCACTTGGGTTCAGCAGAGATCCCCACACCCCTCCTCATGTGAGTAGCAGGAACTTGAATCAGACTGTACATCTGAGCAGCCTGGGACTGGGCCTCTTGGGAAACAATTTCATCTGTTGTGAAACTCAAAAAGGGAAAGACAGTTGGCGACAACACTCCCTGCTCCATCCCCTCCATATTAGACTGGACCGCTCAGGAATAAGCCTCACTCGAGCCCTGCTCATGCGCAGCACACACGTGTTTGAGAAGCATAACCCAGTTGCTTGCCAGTCAGGTTTGACTGCAAGTGGGAAACGCGGACCCAGGCACTGCCAGGGAGTCTCAAGGGGTATGAGGCAGATGAAGGATCATTGACACACCCACCTCAGTCACGATGGTGGACAGGTAGATGTCCTGACTGAACTCCCAGCCATCCAGGCAGCTCTCCTGCTCCAGTTGCTCCAGATCCACATCGCGCCCCGGCTCCAGCCCCAGTGCCGAGAAGTTGGCGATCGCCGCCAGCCGGTAGCGCCGGCAGCTGTGAGGCACCTCGCGACCGTCCTGCAGCCGCAGCGGGATACTGTGGTTGCGCCACGCGCTGCTCAGGTTCGCGGTGTCGGGCACCCGGCAGCGGTGCTCCGGGGTGGCGGCCAGAAACACGACTGACATTCCATTGAAGCCGTTGGGGATGATGCTGGCGCTGAGCAGGAAGAAGATGAGGCGCTGGAAGGGCCCCCACTCGCCCAGGAAGGCCGTCACCTCGTCGTAGTCCCGCATGCTTCCCACCGTCGGTCTGCCCCAGCAACAAGGGGTGCGAAGAGCGGTCCCCGTACCGAGTCGTGCAGCAGAGAGCGTTCCCCGAGGGTGTCAGAACGTTCTCGGAGTCGTGGAAGGCTGCGGAAAACTGGGGCCCACGACCGGGGAGGGTTCCCGGTTAACAGGCTGCGTGCGTTGGAACTCTCCCGGTCGCAAAGCTAGACGCCACGGGAGGCACTACGGACCACAAGCCCATCTCGGCAGGGGCGGGGAGGGGAGTGGAGGGCGGCCGCGCGGGAGGGGTGGGGCTCCCCGCCGGCTCCGCCTGGTGCTCCGCCCCCCTGCCCTTGCGACCCCGCGCCTGAGCCGCCCTGGGCTCCCAGCGGCCCGGTGAGGCAAAGCTCCGCTCCCTCGCACGCTAAGTCGCCCGCGACCCCAAGTGCGGAGGTCCCAGGCCGAAGCTCCGAAGGGGAGAGCGGGCGAAAGGCAGGAGCCGAGGCCGGACAGCGAGGTCTTGGAGAAGTCGGCCCTTGGCCCTCTCCGTGGGCGTCGCTCCAGGCCTCTCTTGGGGCAGGGGTCTCTCCGTGCGTGGCCCTTCCAATCCTGGTTCCGAGTTCAGGTGTCCTCGGGCGCCGCGCGGACGGCGAGTCCGTGGAGTCGGTGCTCAGGAGAAGCCTCTGTGAGCGCGAGGGTGACAGGAGTGCGACCTCTGCGCTGGCACCAGGCTGACAGGGCGCTCACTCCCCACCCGTCCGAGGACGAGGACGGCCGGACTCAATCACCATCCCGCGCTGCTCCGGAAAGCGTCTTCTGGCCAGCCTGGAGCTTCACCTTAAGAAAAGGGGGGAACAGGCCCAGAGCCCGGAAGGGATGAGCAAGGTCACACTGCGTCAGAGACAGGCGCTGAGGAAGGGAGGTAGGGGACAGGGGCTATCAGGTCGGTCCAGGATCCCGCTGGGGTTTCTAGAGGACTTCTAGAGGACTTCAACACGAAGTCTGGCCCTGTGTGAGAGCGCAGTAATGGAGGCGCTCTTGTCACCACCTCTGGGGTCTGATTTGGATCCCTTCATTCTCCCCATGCCCCCGGGGCTCTTTATTGGGGCTGACTGGCAGAGCCTTCTTGGACTGGAAGGCCTTTGGGTTGCAGAAGGGACCGCCCCCAGTCCAGGAACGGAGAGAGGGAGGAGGAGAAGGTCTAGTTTGGCCAGATCTGGCAGGGAAACCAGAGTAGGGGCCTCAAATAGTTCAGTGCCTGCCAAAGTCCCCCTGCTGTTGTGTGAACTAGCCCGGGGCTGTGGTCTGAGTCCTGGGGTGCAGAAGGCAGGCAGATGAGGTTGACAGGTTCAAGGTTCTACCTTTTTGGAGATTGTGTGCAAGTGTGTTTGCTTTCCAGGTCCTTCTTAAGTGGCTGAGGGACATTTCTGCCTCAGTTTATGTAGTTTTCAGTCTAACCCCTCCTCTTAGGCTGGTTTCTCATTCCTTTTCTCACTCCCTTAGAACCTGTTTCCTTTCCTTTTTTTTTTTTTTTAAGCTTATGTTTTTGAGAGAGAGAGAGAGAGAGAGAGAGAGAGAGAGAGAGAGAGGGAGGGACCAGGTAAGGAGTAGAGGGAGAGGGAGAGAGAATCTTAAGCAGGCTCCATGCCCAGCATAAACCTAGTGCAGGGTGCAGGGCAGGGCCCCAGCTCAGTACCTGTGAGATCATGACCTGAGTAGAAATCAAAACTCCCACACTTAATCGACTGAGACACCGAGGTTCTCCTCCTGTTTCCTTTTCTGTAATGAGACCATATGTCCTGATGTGCTAGGACAGGTCTGATTTATGCATGTTAATCCTGCAAAATTATTAATAGCACATCCCTTTACTTCCAAAAGTATCCTTTAAATAATATTTTATGTGGCCATTGTGTTACTTAGCTTGAATCTCATCCTTCCTCCTCTCCCTCAATATAAAAGCAAAGCCTGAGATAGGAATTTATGTGAAGATGGTTCATTTTGAGCAATGATCCCAGGAAAAGGAGTGAGGGGCTCAGAAGAGTGAACAGGAAAGAAGGTAAGGCCAGAAAAGACTGTGTAACCGAGGGGTTATTGGCACCAGGGTCAGTGATTATGCTGTGCTGAAACATTGGATCCTGAGGCCAAAGGAAAAAAATTAGTAATACTGATCCTAATCTTTACTTTGATCATGATCATGGATTTTTATATTGATTTTGATTTTTTTAAATGCAATATTAAAATATTATTTCTTTTGATTATGGAATTTCTTGGTGCCCCTTTAAATTTTCCATCTGACACAAGTGTCTCACTAGTTTCACATTTGCCTCAGCCTTTCCCCAAACCTCACTGCTATGGGTGACAGAGATCCCAATGGGACCTTCTAAAGAGCCATATGGAATGAGGAGGCATTTGTTTCCCAGTTCTGGCTCCATTAGTTAACTCCTCTGCACTTCTAGATTGCACATGTGTGACAGCTGAACAGGTTCCACCCAAGTAAACTGTTTGACACTGCCCATCAGCAAATGTAAATCCATACCTTGAGCCATTTTGCCCCCCATACAAAATAAATGCCCAAGCGCACTACTTAAAGGTGCACCCACTGAAAGGATTTCCCTTCACCACTGTCTAGGGCCAGAGTGGGGCTTTGTTTCAGTAAGGATCCATTTTTTGGCTAGCATCGAGCTAACCCGTCTGTGAGTGAGGGCTGAGTATTTTTCCCCACTATTATTTGGTTGTAGAGAATCACCCCCACAAGACCAAAGTTTGAGCTGAGGGGAAAGGACTGGCATAGCTGAGGTAGGTGTCATAGGAGTCTGAGCCACTTGTTCGTAAACTTACATGAACACCGTGGACCTGCTCAGTCCTGTCACAATGCTACCATTTCTATTACATGATGAATTGCCAATGTGCCTGCTCAACGTTGTAAGTTGATAGAATTTGGCAATACTCAGTTAACATTAGACATCTCTAGCTGTACAGACCCTTGATGTCCCACTGCCAAGCATTTAGTTTTTTACTGTGGCCAAATAGCTGCTTTTCTAAAGACAAATAGCTTTCTGCTGCAGAAGACATGACCTTGCCCTGGAACTCTAGAGATCTGTACTGAAACCCTTTTATTAGAGCTTGTCAGAGGCTCTACCCAGCATCCCAGCATTCTTATCACCATGAGCACCATTGATTCTGCTGGTTCATATGGACAGAATAGTAAGGAACCTTGTACTATAGTTGTACACACTGTAGAGCTCTCTCTTGCTCTGGGCTTCACTCAGAATTGGGAGCCTTCCAAGGCATTCAATAAATGGATCAGAGTAGTATTCTCACCAAGCACCAAGTCTTTATTAGTGGTCGAGGGTACAGGTTACAACAACTTGACTTAACCTTATAGGGGATTGCCTGGCATACTCCATACTACTGGTTCCCCAATAATTTTACCAATTTGCTTCAAAATACTATGGGATAGAAGAAGCAAATGAGGATATAGATGAAATAGAATTGGCCATGATGGTGGATCTAAGGGTTTATTTTCTAGTTTGTTTATTTTTATGTACATTTAACTCATTGCAGAACAAAAGGGTAAGAGAAAAATGTTACCAGTGTGGAAGGCCCTGAATCTTCATACTTTTTATTTCTCAAATTCTGGCATGCATGTGTCTTACTAGGACATCTAGAGTACTTGATTATTCTTGCTCATTAGGTCATATTAGCATTATGTGATCAATTATGAACTATCATGATGTTTTAGGGAATATCAATATAATCAAAGTCACTAAGTACTATATTATGACAGAGAGCATGAGAATTGACATAGTTCAGGGGCAAGAAAGTGAATATGTACTGCTATTCATCCCACAGAAAAGCAAATAGCTTTTGATACTCTTACTGAGGGATTTTGAAAAGAAAATCTTTGGTGTTGGTGCTAATTCTTGCAGCGTCTCCCAGGATGTGGTATTATTTCTGATTTAATAAATTTATCAAAAATGTGGGCACGTTAGAGGCTGCTAGTTGTCCCTACATACCCTAATGGCTCTTAGTTATTAGGGCAGGGAATAAATATTAGGGTCTTGCCAGCTGCTCAGCATAGCTATCCCAGTTATGCACTTAGGGACCACTACACTATGGATCTTTACATCTGTTAGACCTGTTTGAATGAGAACTCTGTTTACCACCTGGCTTTCAAGAGCCTCCAATCTAACTGGGGGACCATGATGGTGTTTCCCAACCCTTGGCATCAATGCTAGCTCATACTCTTGAATCCTTTGAAAGGTCTAGGACTTTCCCTTTCTCCAGGCCAGAGTTGATCTGGTAAAAGATCACTGCTATGAACAGAACTATGTCTCCCCCAAATTCATATGTGGAAGCTCTAATCCTCAATCATATTTGGAAATGAGCCTTTGGGAACTAATTATGTTTAGATGAGATCATGAGGGTGGGGCCCTTATGATGGGATCAGTGACCTTATAAGAAAGAAACACTGGAGAGCTCACAAGAAGGTGGCCATCTACAAGTCAGGAAGACTCTCATGAGGAACTGAATCCACCAGCACCTTGATCTTGGAGTTTCCAGACTTCAGAACTGTGAGAAATAAATTTCTGTTGTTTAGGCCTCCAAGTCTGTGGTATTTTGCTATGGCAGCCTGAGTGGACTAAGATAGCCACAGATCCTTTGTGGGAAGAGATTAGAGAAATAATTTTCATATATACTTTTGGCAGTATAGGTTGGTTTTTCCTTAAGGAGACTTGGTCTTGTTTTCAATCAATAGGCTTGGAGCCTGTGAACTGACCTATATCTGGGAAATTTATGAGAAAAAACTATTTTCCATTATGGCACCACTTCAGCCTTCTGCTCACTAGCTCTTGATTTTGGAGGTGAGATTGTTACACAAGGAACACCTGGTTATCTTCCCATTTATTTAAGTCCTAGGAACACCATGGTCAATTAGCCATCACCACATACCTATAGGCCAAAGCATGCTGATTGCTACTTTGGTCTTGTAATGACCTCCACCCTGCCCCTGTTGATTGTGTCAC